TTGATGGCATAGGGCTGTTTGAGTCCGATGTAGCTGTCCCGCCGCTGGAATTGGTTCCAGCCGGCAGTACTGCACGTCGCGCTCCTCGGAGAGAGAAGGCTTATGCAGGGCCACGCCACATCCGTGAATTCCGACAGGGGATTGATGTAAGTGCCTTGGCAGGGTATGCCTGGCCTATGAAGACAGGCAGAAGCCTGATTCCTATAGGGGATTGATGTAAGTGCCTTGGCAGGGTATACTCGGCCTATAAAGACAGGCAGAAGCCTGTCTTTAAGTTCCTTTACAGTGTAGCGTCCGTTTCCGATGGTATAAATGCATGTTACGTTCGTACACCACATTCATGGCATGCTTTGAATGCATTACACGTGCGCGTGTTTGGTGGATCAGACCTAGAACCTCAGTAAGGGTGAGCAGTTAGACGACAGAGTTCACACAGCAGCAGCCTTGCTCGCGTGGCTGGGCTCTGTGGGCCGCAGCGAACTCTGGCTCACCTCCGCAGGCGCGGCAGCTGTGCTTCGCTGCCGATCATGGCACGGTCGGTCATCGGCTGCGTAGCTGGTAGATGTACCCGCAGGTTCGGCGGCAGCAGCTGGACATACCGCCAGTGACATTTCTCCTTCGCTAAGTGTATGCGGAATTGGTATCAGTATTTCAGGTTTAGTCTGAATATGCACAGAATCACCGCCCCAGCACGCATGATGTGCACCTAGAGGTTAGGGTCCACGGATTTCTGCCTGGTCTTTTTTTGTGATACGCGATATATATATATATATATATATATATATATATATATATATATATATATATATGTATTGTGATACGTTCCCATGTCAGCGTCGATGTGGCGGCGGAGAGGAGGCGGTACTATCCGTGCTGGCAGGAGCGGGCAGCCCCCGCGCCCCTCCCCTCCCCAGTTTCTTCGCAAACGACACAGCGTTTATGTGGCGGCGGAGAGGAGGCGGTGCTATCCGTACTGGCAGGAGCGGGTAGCCCTGCCAGTACCCCTCCCCTCCTCAGTTTCCTCGCATACGGCACGGCTGTGCATTGGCAATGACGCTGGGAGACGCCTCCCTGACCGGTGACCTTTGGTCCAGACCGAGCCGTCGTCAGCTGCGCCCGGGTTGGGGGGGGGGGGGGAGTGGGACGGGGTGTGGGGTCGGCCGATCGGTCGCTCGCTGGGCAGACACGGCTCATTTTCCCGTCGTTCGCACGGCTGCTCGGCAGAAAGCGCCCAACTCCCGAGATGACCGTGCTCCCGAGCTCCCGAGCGCCGAACTCTCCATATGACGTGCTCCCGAGCTCCCGAGCGCCGAACTCTCAATATGACGTGCTCCCGAGCTCCCGAGCGCCGAACTCTCCATATGACGTGCTCCCGAGCTCCCGAGCGCCGAACTCTCAATATGACGTGCTCCCAAGCTCCCGAGCGGCGAGCTCCCAAGATGACGCGCTCCGGCCGTCCGAACCCGTCATTGGTACCCTCCGACTCCCTTTCAGCCGAGAGTGACGATGAGATTCCATGCTAGTTTGCATCCGTGGTGTGTATGTATGCGTGTGTGCGTAGTACTTGTGTACCGAATTCCGACCAGGTCATCCGTCTTAGTCCCGTCGCAGACGGGCCTTTCTGAGGCACAAACTGTTTGTCACTTCCAAACAGGCCGTCTGGCGTGCTGACCGATGGGTCGCTCCGTCTAACGCGCATTCGCAAGTGCTTGCAGTTGCCTTGCTATTATGCCTGATTGCCTGGATGCTCGTGGTCCTGTCGCTCTGCAGCCGTGGAAGTCGTTCCCCAGCACCATCTGCCGACATGTTGTGTGTCATTGCTTCATATTCCATCCGACAGGGGGCAGGCCTGGCGAGCATGGTTGGGAAGATGACGTACGGGAAGAGACAGTGGGAACACCTGGACACTGAGATGCGCCGGCTGATACCCGTGTTCCACAACATCGTCGATGGTCTGGTGGCAGCCATCGATGACGACACGTCCGCATTCAACGACTACATGGTACAGTCTTGATAGATCGGAACCTCACGTGTCTCGCCTCACAGCATCGCGCATCACGCGCATGCGCTGGATTCACGTCGCCGTTGTATGAGCGCCGTCTAGAGTCACAGAATTCATTTCCCCATCAAAATTGATCAGTCGCTTCCCACGACGGGGTGTCGAGTGCCATCCTCCTCCCCGCCCTCCCGGGGGGGGGGGGGGGGGGGGGAGGGCGCGGTCTGAGAGTCGGACGGGCTGGGAGGGCGGTCTTAGAATCGGACGGGCTGAGAGGGCGGTTTAAGCGGTGGACGGGCTCCTCAGCACCAGACACCGATGCGGTCGCTCACAGGGCCAACTCCCCGCCCGTGTAACTCCGCCGCCATCCGCCAGGCGGCGCTGAAGCTGGCCCGCTCGACGCCGGAGGAGGCGACGGCGCGCGCGGCAGCCATGCAGGCGGGCCTGCGCTCGGCCGTGGCGGTGCCGCTGGGCTTGATGCGCCGTATCCAGCAGCTCTGGCAGCCGCTCGCCGAGCTGGCGCCCCTCGGCAACATCGCCACCAAGTCCGACCTGCAGGTACCCGCCGCTGTGGCGTCGCTAGTAGTCGCGGACGTTACGCGAGTTGGTAAATAGCCTAGCCTCGGCGAGCCGTGGCGCATCTCAGGCGCGTGCGGCCCGGGCACACATAACTCGTTTGTCGTCAGCAAGGGGGTGGACGGTCGACACAGGACCTCTAAAACACAATCTAAATGTGACCTGGTCCAAATGTAAGCCAGAAGGTTAAGGATAATCGTCGTTTGTGTCGAATATGTTCATGTTGTCATTTATCCCCGGAAACTGACGCTTGAAAAGGTGTGAAATATTTACATTCCTGAGATGATGCTCAGGCACCGCTCCCAGTTGCGCCTCCGCTGACCCATTGCCCCCCCCCCCCCCCCCCTCTTTCTCCGTGCGTTTGCGCAGGTGGCGGTCCGGTGTCTGGAGACGGCCTCCTGGGGAGCCCTCCACAACGTGGCTATCAACCTGGATGACGTGGAGGACGCCCAGTTCCGGCAGCAGACACTGCAGGAGGCGGAGCAGCTGGCCAGCGAGGCGACGTCGAACAGCCGCCAGCTGCTGCAGGTCCTGGAGGCCCGTCGTCAGTAACGCCACGCACGGGCCCAGGTCACGGTTAGGGACCGACGGCTTCGGCTCCACAGCCGCCAGCTGCTGCAGGTCCTGGAGGCCCGTCGTCAGTAACGCCACGCACGGGCCCAGGTCACGGTCAGGGACCGACCGCTTCGGTTCCGGCGGTGGGTCCCGGCAGCGACCAGGCGCTGCCAGCCATGGGAAACTGTGGCGGGCCTCCGACGCCGACGACAGCGGCGCACGGAGGCCGGCCGTCAGCGAGCGCGACCATCAGCGGCCAACGAACAGCGCTCTGGCCGCAAAGCGTCCTGGGCCGGGGTGTGTAAATGGCGGGTAAATGTCCGGCGAATACACGCTCGGCGGAGTGAGCTCAGCATGAACGCGAATACATACAGGCGCGCAAATTAAGAGCTCTTTCTGGGATTGGAAAACAACACAGATATGCTTGATGATATATTAACCAACAAAAGTAAGCTCGGCGCAAAAAGCCACTCACGAAGAAAACGCATTGCTCATCTGAACTAACTTCACCAGAACAATCCTCCTCATCTGCAACCACAGCAATCACAAAAGAGTGCCATTCACACTAATATCACCGACAACTTCTAAACAGAATGACTGATGGTAGCCAAATATTGATGAGACATAAATATGATAGCACACACCCGTGTCGACCATTTCATCTGTGTCCACCAGGCCCGCACCTATAAGCACTCCTGTTCCTGCGCTCACTTGGGTGTCGCCGTGTTCATATGTCCGCTCCGCGTTCATTATCCGGTCCCCGTGGCCGTCAACGGGTCTCGCGGCTCAACAGCTGGCCCATATGCCATCAGCCGGTCCCTGTGACGTTTAGCCTGTCTCTGGGCGCAGCAGCCGGTCTCTGGGTCCAGCAGCCGGTCCCTGCGCCCAGCAGCCGGTCCCTGTGACGTTTAGCTCGTTTCTGGGCACAGCAGCCGGTCTCTGGGTCCGGCAGCCAGTCCCTGCGACCAGCAGCCGGCCCCTGCGCCCAGCAGCCGGTCCCTGTGACGTTTAGCCGGTCTCTGGGCGCAGCAGCCGATCCCTGCGCCCAGCAGCCGGCCCCGCGTCCCTCAGTCGGTCTCCATGCCAGGCAGCAGGTCTCGCAGCAGCAGCTCGGCCAGCTCCAGCAGGTCGCCGGCTGGGATCTGCGTCAGCTCAGCCAGCAGCGCCACCAGCTCGTCGCTGCTGTCGCGGCGCACCAGGAAGGCGGCGGCGGCCAGCACGGCGGCGGCCAGCAGCACGCTGTCAGCCAGCACAGCGGCAAACTGGCGGCGCGCTGCCGGCACCAGTTGCGCACAGCCCGTGGTGCGCCGGTACAGGCGCAGGTAAAGCGCCGAGCGCCGGACACAAGCGGAGCGGAGCAGGCGCACGGCCGCCGACGGCAGTGCCGGGCTCAGCGGCTCCAGCAGGTCCGGGCGCCGGCGCGTCACCACGGCCAGCAGCGTCTCCAGCGTGTCCAGGCAGGTCGGCGAGCTTACCTGGGCGGCGCGTGCCGTCAGACAGGTGGGCGGGAGCCGCGGACGGGCGGCGAAGAACGAACGGACGCGTCACGTCACGTGGCCAGAAAGCCCGGTGATCAGTAGGCAGGGGTGGAGGTGCCAGGCTCAAACCCAGAAGAGTCAAACCTGGCGGCTTACACGGCGGACATATAGGGCGATGCTTGCGAAATGCAAGCAGCGAGAGGCCTTAACAATTTCGGTAACACGGATCCCATGTTCCTCAAAACTACCAGTAGTTCAGTCCTACTGGTACATGCATCGTTGGTGAACGAGCTTCTAAACATTCGTGTCACCTTTGCACATCACACGCGCTGCCTATGCCATCGTGACGTGCACTATGAAGCTGATGATTGATTGGCATTACATACCTGAAATTTCAGGGTCTTGAGAACCCTGACCTCTGAGCTAACAACGCTCTCCAGGCTGTAGCAGTGCTTCGCCTCCCGAAGCAGGCCCTTCACACGCTTCGTCGTGACAATCTGCGAAGAGAGCTCCGTTGATCGGATCGGTCGTCACCTTAAGTTTTTTTTACGTTCCCTGGTCGCAGATGGTAACTGTAGTGAATGTAGGTTACGAAATCAGATTACACTGAACCAATCCCTGGTCTTCAAGTACTGCGCAGCCCTCTGAGCTCAAAGCGATCATGCACTACACAATACAGCCAAAGTTGTCCGTAAAACTCCTTAGATTTCAACCGTCTGTACAAGTAAACATGCTCACCTTGTAATGCAGAGAAAGTTTTGAAGAGATCTGGACGCAGGACAACATTCTGAGAATGGCCTGACTGTGTATTCGCTCCAGCAAGCTCTTCCACTCCTTATCCCTGTTTGCTCGCTCCACCTTTGTGGTTATGTACTGGGACATCTCCATCATGTGCGCCTGCATAAATCTGATAATATAAAACGAACAAAATAAGGGATCATGCGGCAGCAGCAGCAGCTGTGGTCCGGTCTAAGGCAATTTACGAGCAGCACATCTCGAGCCATTATGTCTTAAGTCATGAACAATCAGGACCTCACGTACTCTATATCAATCAGGATCTCACGTACTCTATATCAATCAGGATCTCACGTACTCTATATCACCTGGCAGCCAAAACAGACAATGTCGAGCACACAAGAATCTATCCAAAAGCCGAACAGCTCGGCGCACGGCTGTCTTTGTCGGCGCGTGGCAGTGCACAAACATGGAGTGACTGTCCATCATCAGCTGCTCCCACCATCACCGACTGACCGTTCGAACAGCTGCAGCGCGCGGAAGAAGACCGGCGAGGGCTGCGAGAGCCGACGACAGAAGAGGAGCAGCAGGTGGCCTGTAGCCGGGGCCCCGAACACGCCAAAGTGGGCGAGCTCGGCGTCCGGCGGCGCGGCGCCCGCCTGATGCAGACTCTGGCCCCACTCCAGCAGCAGCGCATCTGAGGGGCACAGTCACCGTCACCAGAGACGGGGCAGCGGCCCCCTGATGCAGACTCTGGCCCCACTTAAGCAGCAGTGCGTCTGAAGAGTACGGTCAGCATCACCAGAGACGGGGTAGAAGCCCCCTGGTGCAGACTCTGGCCCCACTCCAGCAGCAGCGCGTCTGAGGGGCACAGTCACCGTCACCAGAGACGGGGCAGCGGCCCCCTGGTGCAGACTCTGGCCCCACTCCAGCAGCAGTGCGTCTGAGGCACAAGGTCAGCATCACCAGAGACGGGGCAGCGGCCCCCTGGTGCAGACTCTGGCCCCACTCCAGCAGCAGCGCGTCTGAGGGGCACAGTCACCGTCACCAGAGACGGGGCAGCGGCCCCCTGGTGCAGACTCTGGCCCCACTCCAGCAGCAGTGCGTCTGAGGCACAAGGTCAGCATCACCAGAGACGGGGCAGCGGCCCCCTGGTGCAGACTCTGGCCCCACTCCAGCAGCAGTGCGTCTGAGGGGCACAGTCACCGTCACCAGAGACGGGGCAGCGGCCCCCTGGTGCAGACTCTGGCCCCACTCCAGCAGCAGTGCGTCTGAGGGACACAGTCAGCGTCACCAGAGACAGGAAACAGAGGCTCCCTGACGCAGACTCTGGCCCCACTCCAGCAGTAGCGCGTCTGAGGCATATTCATTGTCGTCAGCCACCCTTCTGACATTAATTTAGAAGCAGTGTCTATGGAGCACGGCATGATCCAAATCCAAGAGACGGAACACAGTGGCTTCCTAGTGACGCCCAAAATATCATCAGAACAATACGCGCGTCCTGAACGAGACAACATAGACAATATGACCAATCTAAGACATAATTCAAGCAGGGGTGAAAGGTACGTAAGCCCACTTACCCAAGGCTGGGGCGCTGATGAGCTTTGTGTGGTCGAGGGTATATTCATCGTCTCCCAACTCTTCTGTCGCCATCAAAGACTTCTTAGCCTTCAGTAGAGATGTATCTGCCAATAGCATGGGATATTTGACGTGACATTAAAAACGAACGGGCGGCAACCATAAAGAGATATATGATGACATAACATGCAAGGCCACTGACAGTACACATGGATTCTGCCGCATCCGAACTGATCAATGGCGAAGCCTCGGAGCGGAGAAGGAGGGCGGGCGGCGTGCCTCCGTGGCGGCCGCCACCTCCCCGACTTGAGCTGGGGCCTCTTCGGACGCCCAAGTGCCTTCCAGGCGCCTGGAGGGCGGTTAGATTTATAATTTATTGATGCCTTCCATGACAAATTGAGATGCGCCAATGGTGAATTGGCCTCCCGCAAGATTTCCAGAGACACACGGAGTGATCAACGAAAATTGTGCGCCTGTTGGTACTACCATGTGTTCGTACTGTATCGAGAAAATCAATGATATCTTTTCGAACTGACGCCCTGTTTCTGCCATGCAACGCACAGGAAACTGAATATCGCTGTCATCACACGTTCAAATGGACTGTGAAAATCTAAGCATGCGTGATATAACGTCATATCTGGATGAAGATGCAGCCCTTCACGCCATAGAAGAGGGGATGCACTGCATTTGCCACAAATACTTGCCTAAAACCACATAGAGAACGCATCCAGACCAGGGATTTAACCCAGAAAGGACACGGCGTCACGCCCCCCTCCCGCCCTTCCGGGGCAAAAGGTTTACAACCAGGATGCTGGGTGATTTAGCAAAAATTCGTTCCAAATTAGCTCGAGTTCAGAGAAAATTTGACGTTCTCCTCCCACGTGGAACCATCTGGTGCGTGCTTGATCCCGTCAAAGCTCGAACATAGATATATACTTTATGACACATTCCTTCACCTATGCAAAAGCCTGTTGAAAGATGCACAAATGGCAGCAATACGACGGTCTGCAACCAGCCCGTAGCGGTGCGGCCTTCAAGTGCAACGGTGACGTCAAGCTTAGCAGCACCTCTACAGGCGCGAGCAACCGGAGCACAACCTCGAATCTGTTACATCGGGAGGATGTCGTGCATGGATTTCCCACACCTAGGGTTTCCACGCGCTCTGTGCAGGGCGGTGACGTCACTGATCCCGAGACTTCAATGCGGCACGGCCGCTAGCAGCGGAAGTAACGTTGCGGGCGGGCGGGACATCGAAAATCTGCGTACAAATAACGAACAAACTATTGGTGGGAGGCACACAGGATCGAGAAAACGATTTCGTAGAATATAATGGCGAGTATGATGGTGTGCTTATCTAACCTTTGTCACTAACCATTAAAATGTAATGGCATGAGAAGTATAAACGTGCACACGTGAATGATGCAAGCCGGAACAGCTGGGGCCGTCGGGCTATTGTTTGTGTCGATAGTGAACGGAACTGTTGTTGGTAGGTGTACATGACCAGCGCGCCAATCGCGTAAAATTGAACGTCAAACATGATGATGTGCCTGACAAAGCCTACCCGCCAACCGCTGCAATGAAGTCGGCGTAGAAATTGAAAAACGTTCATTGCCAAAACTGCTGCATAAACGGGCGGCCGGGACATGGGACCGCCTTCGAACCGATTATCAACAGGCTGTTCAGCCTGTATAGGGTAGGTGTACATAACCAGGAAGCCGGATACGTAGAACTTAGTAGGGAGTATGATGATGTGCTTATTGCAAGCTTATATCCGTAGCCTTTAAAATGAAACCAACGTGAAAAGCGAAAACGCGCACGCGTGAACTGTAGGAGATAGGTAGTTTGAATATCGGGGCTTCTTTCTTCCCAGTAAAGTAGCCAGTAGATTATTGCTGGAAAGTGCATATATCTGCAAGCCCATCAGGTACAAATTGCAAGCATGAACATGCACTTTGCGAGCTCAGTTCAGTTAGCGTGAGTACTGAATGCGCCTACGTGGGGGCTGGGTACTAAGGAAGGGAGGGAGATGAGCCCCAATTTCCTAAAATCTAGCATTGGCCCCATTGACGTTTAATGGAAGAAGAAGTCCAAAAAGCAACGCACGTAAACATCTCACCAGCGCAACGTGGGTGGCTCGACACTCATGACTATACAGACAGGTGAGAACCGAGCATTGTCGGCCCGGCGCACAGGTATGGACCACGCATGGCGGAAGGCACATAGGCACTGACCGGGCATGGCGGAAGGCACATAGGCACGGACCGAGCATGGCGGAAGACACACAGGCACGGACCGAGCATGGCGGAAGGCACACAGGCACGGACCGAGCATAGTGGAAGACACACAGGCACGGACCGAGCATAGTGGAAGGCACATAGGCAACGGACCGGCATGACGGAAGGCACACAGCCACGGACCGAGCACGGCGGAAGACACATAGCCACGGACCGATCATGGCGGAAGGTACGTAGGAACGGACCGAGCAAGGCGGAAGGTACGTAGGCACGGACCGATCATGGCGGAAGGTGCACAGGCAGGGACCGAGTACGGCGCGTCTAGCGCGCATCATCTGGACGCATCTAACGCCAAAAATACTCAGTGGACGAACAGACTCGCTACGCTCGCTGCTCACTCATACCACCATCGACGGCGGCACGACTACGGGGTGCGAGGCCTTATACGATCAAAGTGCGTTATAATAGCTTACCGCTTAAGGATACCTCGCACATGATCACGCTCGTCATTAAATTCTACCCAACCAGCTTGTTGGTCATATACATTTGGCATTAACACTTTGTTCGTGATGGATACGAAGACAGCCCGATGTTACTGCTGTCTATGGGAATGATAACCGTGTGGGCGTCTTGACTTTTCACGTCATTGCATTGAAATGGTTTTCCGCAAAGCATATAATCATACTCGTCATAAAATTTCACGTCATCCGCTGGCTGGTCAACTGCACCTTCCACTAAAGCTTTTGCATCATTTGAAGGAATGTTTCGGTGTTCCGGTTGCTTCTCAGCATTCCACCCGGCGTCTAACGACCCGCTATGCATTGAAGTCTCGGTACCAGTAACGCCACACTAACGTTTTAAGCGAAGATGAAGCGAGAATCGCCGGACAGTCTTGCCTCTTTTACACAGCTTTGCGGTTACATAACCGTGCTCATATCCACAAACCACGCCCCTGCTAAGTCGGTCACGTTCCCGCTCGCAACATTTGTCCGCTACACTGACCCGCCTTCAGCATTATCTTTTGGCAGGATGGCTGTGTTTCAGATGCACCCGGGTCCACCTCCAGCCGCACTACGCACATTTGGCTCGCCCAAATGGACCGAGTGTCATGCTTCGCGTTGGGCCGCGGGCGGAAGGTGGGCAGCCACCTACTTCCACACCTTCTGACTCACAGGCCACATGCCATTCACGTCTGCGTTCACCTCGCTTTACATGAGCATACTGCACATGAGTCGTCTCTTTAAGAGCAGAAAACAATGCTCATAATGAAAGCACATCTCGGAATTTCAATACATCTTATCAAGTTTTGCGTAGTGAGGGCTGATTGGTCAAACAAAAGTACTTACAATGACATTCTAATTTGATAAGGTTACATCAGGTGAGGTACATTTGTTAAGTTTCTTACGTTACAATCACGTTACATTACTCACGTTACCAAGTTATTTTGCTACTTAGTGACGTCATGATGCTACATTTGGCTAGGTTAATTCGTGCTGCATATTGACTTATTTTCCCAGTGACGTCACGAATGACTGCCAGGCGCAGCCTTGAACGAGGTTCACATTAATCATCATCCTTGATTTCGAGGAGATATGCGTGGTGGCGCGCGAGCGTGGCTGCTTGCGCGTGCTGAACGGCCCCAGTTGTGTGCGTAATTTTTGTGCAACCGTTTTTCAATATCGTGGGGGAAAAACGATATCGTATTGCTGTGTTAAGACCACAATCATCATTCCTCCATTTTCCAAGCATTATTAGTCCGTAATATTCAAAACTGATCTAACGGGAAAAATTA